TCCACGAACTTCCAACACCAACATGTTTCCGTTATTCCGCTGTCACTAATCTCCTAGCCATCATAGGCAACGCTTGTACTGCTCCACGACCACTGAACAAGTGTAATAACCTTCGGAAGCCATCAATAGATAGAGCCAAAAATATCTGTAGCCAACTCAAAGAAATTGGGAGGATAAAAAAGGTAAAGAAATATTGAAAACCCCTTTAACAAGGGAATGGTGAGAAATAATAGAGGAGGAGATGTGAGGGCTTGAGCGCAGAGGGGTAGTCAATCACACTATGTAAATTCGAGATCCTGAACATTAAAGAATTTGGTTTCCGAGTGATTTTCTATGTTTCATAGCTTTGGGAATATATATCCATACTGAAAAAAATTTGCTCTTAGATCGATCGCTGGAATTGGTCGGCTACGGTCAGCTCATTGTGCCAGGTACATGATTATATATTATCACACTAATAGCTTACCGTGTGTGTACCACACGGGCCTGGAACTCACGGAGCCAAAGAGCACCCTTATCCGTCGATTCCAATTCATCAGTAAGTATGGATGGTCAGTTTGAATTCTATATCTTCAGTGTATCGCAACGGGTGGATTCTTTGCACTAATAGACCGGTTGAAAAGGATTGCAGGCATGGCCCCTTGTCCTTGCCCAGGCCTGGCGAAGTAGAGTGGTTGAATACTTTTTTAAAAAAAATTGCCGCTCCTCCAGTACAAAATCTCTGGTGGGTTTCGTAGGTAGTAAACTATTGGATACTCGTAGCAAGTTAATGGAAGATCCCTCGAGCAATTGAAGGGGTTAGGAAAAGTCAGTTGATGGAGGGAGCTTCACAATTCACGAAGCACTCCCTCCGCATACCCCGGCGGGTGATCTCCCCACCTCCCCTCCCCTCCCCTCCCCTCCCTTAACGCCCTAGCGCTATTTTTCTGCCCCTTTTCATCTACTGGCTTCCAGGGGTACCGAGTGTTGTAGATATTAATTATAGTTGAAATGGTATTCACTGGAATGCACAATTTGAATGCAGATGGACCAAAGGCTTGTGTCTACTTATCAGCAATTATCATGTTCACCCTCTCGACCTTCAATTACCGGTTCCATCACAGGGCCAGATAACCAAAGGACACAACATATAAAAAGAAAATATCATAGGAAAGGGGCAGACAACGAGGTAGGGTTAGGGACTCCAGATTATTAGCTAGTCTGGGGTCCGCGTGCCTGGGTGGGCACCCAAAGATTTCGTTATATCATCTCTGTGGTATGATCCCGGGTATGGTACCATACAGGACAAACACTTCCCAAGTACAACCACTGCATTCGGGAAGAACCGCATGGAAATTTAAAACAAAAAAGAAAAAACCAATTCTAAGTATTAAAACGATTTTTTTTATCGCCAAGGTGAATTCTTATTTCAAACGAAACCTTCAATCATATCCAATCTCGGGTTAGTGAAACTAGCTTTCAAATTTCATTCCCTGCCGTACCGCTGGGGTACCTGGCAGTGATGCTAGGTTGCGGATTCGGTGGGCCATATTCCTTCCGACACCAGATTTCGGACAGGGTGGTGCCGGTCTACTTGTGTGACGGCAGTAGGATACCATCCATTTCACAAGCTTCCCAGTCTCCAAAGTGAGAAACCAGAACTTCAATTACATCTCCCACTGTACTCGAGTACTCGGAAATGGTGCTCAATGGCCTATTCGATGGGTCTTGTGTTTTTCGGCAACGGGATCTAGAATAGAACGGTGCCAGTGCCTTTATGCGATAGTAGTAGGGTAGGAGTCATGGTGTATTATCCCACAAGGAAAGCCATCCCAGAATCCTATGAAGTTCCAAGTTCAGTGTGCTAGGTAGGGTTGTGAGATCTCGTCATGCTGTTTGTGGTGTTGTACCCCATTCTGACCTTCCCGATCAGGCAGGCAAAGAGCGGGGTCTGGTAAATTACGGAAAGGGAGCTTGCCTGGGTTCTTCAATGGCGTATCCTCATCTCATATTACAGCGCAATACCTAGCCCAGCCCACTGTATGTCAGGCACCACATGCTAGCATCGCTAGGAGTCTGAAGACACGGCCCTATAGGGGAAAAATAGACCCCACAATTTCTGAACAAGAATGTATCAAGCAAGCGGGGGGTCCCAACTCAAGGGGTGCCGTGCGTGTTGCTTTGTTGGACGGATTTATCTTAACCATGAAATCCCTGTACTGTACAAGTACAACATTTCTACTGTCACAGGGAAAATATGGCATTCTAAATTTCCGGCGCACTAAAGGGAAATCGCTAAATTAACCATAACTAACCATAGCAATTATGATACATTAACCCGAAACTTGTGCCCTACCGTTACATATATGTTTGGCATCATAGGGTGGAACATAGAACCCATGCCCTAAGGGGAACCCGATGCCTTTACCCCATGAGATTCTTGCCATACCATACCAATTCCCGCAAGGAGTGATTTCCCCCCAACCCCCTCTGAGATCTCTAATATCCCACGGTCTTAATGGTTTCTGTTTCCTTCTTTCATTCAACGACAGAGCGTAGCACAAGAGAGGAAGCAAGCCCCTTTGCGGGTTAAATAGAACCAGACGCTTACAGAACTGTCGTAGATCCTCCTTGGATGGGTGAAAGCATGGCCCTTTGACATGGATGCTAGCACTCTCTAGAAGAACTTAAACAATTATAAATATGTATTCTAAAGAGTTCGAAAAACCGCCTATAACTCCAACCAAGGTAGAGCATAGTACCGCACCTCTTCTGCAAGCGCCGCTCCCTAGAATTGGCAAAGACCCATCATTAAATCTTGCCCGCTAGCCTCGTGTAGAGCACAAAAGCACAAGAGCTATCAGTCACCATATAAGATGAAATATTTAGCCGAGCACAAGGGTGAACTAGCCGAATCAGGATTTATGAACTCTTCCACTTGATTTGGTTGAACTACGTACGGTAGTTATAACGTCCACCCAGCTGGGTAAATTATCATATTATTAATATGATAATACTTATCGCAACACTTGGACAAATTTTGTCTTGCGACCCATGGGAACCGTTCTGCATCCGATAATTCAGCTTTTCGCATGCACCATACCAGAGATCGTATTCTTACCCTACTAACCAATTTTGACAGCCCAACCATCCACAGCGCAGATTCGGGGGTGATCTACTCGAGTATACTGGTAGGTATATCAATGGTGCCCCCCACTCTTAAGCCCCGCCCCAACCGGAAGGCCCTGCCTTCGCTAAACCTGTGACCGGATGGGGGAGTCCTGAACTCTGAGCATGATATTTGAGCTGAGAGGGGTTTGAGCATTCGGAATTCTCCATAATCAATGTCTGGATGAATAACAGTTCTCTATCCAAAGCCTGAGACGGGTATCATCGCAACTCCGATGCGAGGAGGGGGGTTAGTCCAGCAGGAACGTTAATCAAACCCATGATTTTCCAGTCCCTCGCACCACCAAATGCCTTGCTATGCCTTCATCCCCCCACCCTTAAAAAATTCAATCGACATTGTGCTCTTTTTCTAGACAATGGCTTGATATGTATCCTCGGCTGCATTTCCTCACGGCGAAGTGCAAATAGACGGAGCTCGCCGCTTTCCTGCACAAAAGCAGCACTCTTCGTACACCACCTAGGTCTCAAGTCACCACGACAAACGAGAACTCAAGCAAGCCAATCCACAAAGTCATCCAAGCCACCTCAGCAGCACAATGGTGAAAATTGTTTAGACCCCTCCTTGATTAGTAAATCAAAGGAATAACCTCCCCGGCTCCCGGTACTAGAGACTGCTGTAGATAGGCCGGGCACTGGATCGAATGTGGAGGTGGAAAAGTACTCCCGCGGCCGAGTTGAAGTTGGACCCGATGATCGCCGGGCCAATTAACGGGCTCATCCAGTGTCAAGCTGACGACAGTAATTCCGTACACGGTACGACTAAGTAGGGTATGAAATCCATCGTTACTGAGCAACCCCCCGCTCAATCGACTCCCTGCTTATGATAATACTTGAATATCCCTTCGTTTGATGCTGAATTGCAGGGCTTTTTGGCGTGCGCCCGGCATTGTGATCAACAAAAGCCATCACTGGATACAGCTAACATATGACATCAGAGCTAATGAAGAATAAGCCACACTAACCGTGATATAAAAAAACCTCGCGCTTGGGAAGTGGTGTAGTGCCCAGAACAGAGCAAAATTAGTACTGCTCAACATGGTCATGATTGAAATGAGATGACCAGTGTATATTCGTTCCTAATTACGCAAATAACTTAGGTTCGTGTTCGGCGCTCTAAATTGGTCTAAATGTACCAGTTGTTTGCTCGAGTATTCGGTCGGGGTATTGGAGAGGGTACAGGGGTGATAGGCCGGATAGGGGGTCTAATTGACTTATGATACTCGTTCTACGATAGGGAATTCGACGAGCAATCCTGTGCTAACCTAACAAAACAAAACCGTAGTCTACCAACCCAAGCCGTTGTGGAGAAGGTTCGAATCGACCACTCCACCATCCACCACAAAGCACGTTCCGGGTCCAAGCGTGAAATAAGGAACCTACTTTGTTGAGTTTCCTTAAACATCTACCTCCGTACTATACCAAAAGGGAAACACCCTCATCAAGATAAGACGAGAGCCTATCGGTTATCAGGGCGATTGTGTTCTTTTGCAGACGCCATGCGCAGCGGCAGGGGGCTCCAGACCCCCTGTAATTACTAAGTCGTAAATGGTCATAAAGTGACACAGATTAGGAAGGACCGTTAGAACTAGACAACTGGCGAATGAGGATCACCGAAAGCTTCACGGTTGTTTAAACCGGGGGTGATATCCGGAAGCTGAAAAAGTCCACGAGGTACGCAATTGGTAGAACCATATTGTTTTAATGATAGCCAATTCTACGCCCACATGGGCATATCGTATTTCAGCTAGCACTATTGCTGTTGACTGGAATTTGCCATTGGGACAAAAAAATATAAAGGCTTGACATAACTCCTTCTAGAGGCACTCCTTCATTTCTCATCCACAGTTCCAAGTTCAATATCACTCGCGATCTCACCAGGAAGACATCAAAATGAAGCTTTCGGCCATTGCTCTCTTTATTTCTGCCGCCACGGCGACCCCGGTCAACGAGCTCGTAAAGAGGACTCCTCCGAATATTCCTAGCGCAGCGAGCGCGATAAGTATGCTTGCTTCTCTCACTGTAAGGACTTCGGACCCATCGGGCTACGACAGAAATCTGTTCCCGCACTGGATCACAATCAGTGGTTCTTGCAAGTGAGTTCGAATGCCTTCCAGATTAACTCAGACTAAACATATCGCTCTTTCAGCACTCGTGAGACTGTCCTGGCGCGCGACGGAACCAACGTCATCCAGGCCAGTGACTGCTCAGCAGTAAGCGGAAGTTGGTACAGCCCTTACGACGGTGCAACTTGGACTGCTGCCTCTGATGTTGTATGTCTTGGTGGAGTTATCGCATCTCGCATCCTAAGTTGCCTCTCATTAACTGACCAATTCAACTACCATATAGGACATCGATCACGTCATTCCTCTTTCCGATGCCTGGAAATCAGGGGCCAATACCTGGGTGAGGTCCAATCCTTTATGATTTTCATTGCCCTACCTCAGTAACTTCCACACATTAAAGTCCCCAATCCTAATCATCTCCAAGACTACCGCATTGCGCCAACAATTCGCCAACGACCTAACGAATCCCCAACTCATCGCTGTGACGGACAACGTTAACCAAGCCAAGGGCGACAAATCCCCTGATTTGTGGAAGCCTCCTCTAAGTAATTCCCCCTATTTCCCTATTCCTCACGATGAACCAAAGTTGATATTCATCCAACCACAGCCTCCTACTACTGCACTTATGCCAAAATGTGGGTCAAGGTCAAGAGTGCATGGTCACTCTCTGTCAAGTCTGCCGAGAAATCGGCCTTGGCGAGTATGCTGAACACTTGCTGAGCTGAGATCGCGCGAACGAGTGCTGGATGCTGGATGCTGGGCCTATGTGATGTTGACAGATAGACCATCGTACGGTCTTTTTTTTTTTTCTTTCGAAAATAGTAGAGTAAAGTTTATGGAGTTTGTAATTCCGGCTCCCCTTCTATTGAAAATTTTATATCAACAGTGAAGTGGCTTTAAGGACCCTCATGGTAAGACAACCGTATGATATTTGCCAAACAGCCAAAGAGATCCCGAGCCAAAGGAGCTAATAACTGCTATTACTTGTACAGTATACTCGTAGATACTGTACAAGCACCTATTCAAGCACCTTCTTTCGGGCGAGAGCCCTAAGGCTGATAACTTTTGTCTTATGATCTCATACTTGTATCACGGAATTTTCCGACAAAAAAAAAAAAAAAGGCCGCTCCAGCCGTAGAGCAAGACCCTCTAAATTTATTGTGGACTCGATTTTGATTCGTGCACATTCGTCTCAGATCAGCCCCAATCCGGAGTCGGTGGTATTGGGGAAAAGGCAAACGGGTGGCAACGCGGGAGTGAGGTCTCTCCTTCCACCCTCCGCAGGAGTAAAATAAATCCGATAACCCCGAGCACCTGTTGAACACAGTACGAGTACTGTACCTCGTACAACAGATTTGTGTGTTACATGAGCGTAGCTGAATAGCAGATACACCCGGGCACGTTACCATTCCTGGATGGTTTTTATAGGGGATGGATTCCTACTTCAGCTACAAATACTCGAGAAAACCAGGGCCCGGCGGGCGCCATGAACCGGGAGATTTGGCGTGCTCGGTCTATACTGGCCAGCGCGTTAGATTACAGAATGGATGAACGGATGGATAGAAAAACCGTAAACACCCGTCCGTCCAACCACACGATGGTACCTGGATCGGGGGGGTACACAGGACACTGTAAGTTTCGGAGTCTTTTTCCCGTTTCTGTTTTTTGGTGAGGTTGTGCTGTGACGAGTTTGTGAGAAGAGTGCTGTGATGCGAGGACTTTTGTTGGCCAAAGTGGTACGGGTTGACTGACTGGAGTGCACGGGATGAACCAATGGTTATGCGCTATTGTATGATATTACCCATACTTTGGGTCTTTCGAAGACCTATAGCAAGGTATCGATCGGGAGTGGGATTATTGATAACCAAACTCCCCCCAGATCCCCCCATCATTCCGGCCTCCCATCGCCGGCACTCTATATATAGCCAAAGGCCGAAAATCCTAGGCACTAATAAAATCACTATCCCAACCCCAGCGCACGCTAATCCCGCTCCATATGGACAGCAGGTATCTTCCCAAGGGACCATTCTCCAAAGGACAATCCACAGTATAGGTCAATAATCAATGGCGAGCCGTTGTTCATAACAAAGCAAAAAGATCGAGGGTAGAGCATATTATATATAAATTAGCTAGACCGGAAGTAATACTTGCCAGGATGGGGATACCTAGCCTCGCTAGGGGCCACGAGAGAGATCACGATGGGAGCCTAATAGGGTGTTGTTTCACCTTTGGAGTGGGTTGTTTGTCAGATGAATGGAATGAAGCAGGCTTGGGGACTCGGAACTAGTGTTATTTTGATGCATGTTGAGTGAGAGAATATTTGGGTGGTGTTGTTAATGCAGACACGTTTCAGCGCGGTGGGTATGATTCGATGGCATTAAGAGTCATAACTAGTCACTCGTATTGCCCCGTCAAAGCCCTGTGTGGGACCATCCCTATCATAGTGAATCCACGAGGCGCCCTCACGGCTAGTGCTGATATGTCAATCCGCTATCATAAAGCTTCCCAGTGCCTACCGTAGACCGCGCGCTAATAGGATATCCTACTTAGCTACCTTTCCACGGCTTTTAGGTAGCCGCTCCATATTTGACTCCGCCTGGCACTCTCTGTGAATATAGTACTTATTTTATGGTCCTCCACTGCCAAAAATTCTAGCCAAGCATCATATTTGGTTTGAGAATGCAGCTAATGATGGATGTTATCGAAGTAGGGCCCTATTGGCACTTATATTCTCTTGGGGTTTGGGTTCAGACCTTCTCTAGATCTAAGGAAGGGTCCCCTGCCTCGTTCTCTAGGGGATGGCATGGCTAGTATCATAGAACTAAAGAGCGTATCATAAATTATGATATCATTGATATGATAATATCATACTATGCAAAATTGCGATATCTGCACATCCATACTCTTCTGACCTATCCAGATTACCCCAGAAGAAACACGTACTACAATACCCATAGATTTGTTGCTTTAGTAATTCTTCCCCACATCCTACAATCCACAACCCTACCACCTCTACTAAAAAAAACCCAAAGTCAATTTATTTATGATAGTATCATAGCACAAGTATATACCTATGGAGGGGAAGGGAGGCACCTTCACATTCCATACTCGCCCAAAACAAAGTGCCTAGCCACCATTAGTAAAAAGTACACTCAGCAGTTATAACATGTAATTCTACACACTCCACTATATGCGCGCCGTAGGACCGCTGGCGATTCGCTATCCCCAGCAGGTCCCTAATCTCCGGATTCAGGGACAAATGCTCCTGGGGAGGGTTAGTACCTCCAACACGGTATAGCCTGTGTCCTTTGGACGTGTTGAATCTCGTTGACCCATCAAACTGAAGCTATCGTGAGCTGATGCGGTGATATCCACAATTCCGCAAAGTGCACGTCTCAACGTATCATATCATACGGTAGCGCTTATCATTCTCCCTATACCCCACATCACCCCCCCCCCCCCACACACACCTCTACTGCACCGTGAGAGTAAACCTCAAATCCCCACCCATCCACCATTAAGCACTGCAGGTATCGCACAAAGGTGTGATTATCTCAGGCCGAGAGTCAGAATATCCACTAACGCTACCGGCAGGCAGATAGGCATATGCCATCGGCACACCCCATCACGGAATACTGATACCTCGTGCACGGCATTCACAGTACAGGTGAGCCGTGAGTCGGCCGATCGATGGAACGATCTATAAGTTAGCGGGATTCATAAGTAACATTACGCATTCCCCCATTCGGTCTGGAGCAAACCGCTGCACCGCACCGTAACGCCTGTCCTATTCATGAGCAGCGAGCTAGCTAGATAGCTAACTACTCACATTTTGCCCATTCTCCTCACACTCCACGACATGAGACCTGCCCATGCCCCACACCCATGATTACTCGAGTACTGAGATACAACTAGAAAAAGGAGAAAAAGAATATACAGGGAACACCAAGATCACCCACTACCCAAACAGCCCCGCCCAGCAAACACCTAAAATTTCTACAGTTTAACCCTCCCCCACACAATCCCCTCCCAATCCCCTCTTCCAAAGGGAACATACTCGCCGTCCTTCAACCACCAAAGCACATCCCCTGAGGCCCCCACCTTCTCCGGATCCGCCCCTTCATCCCTCAACGTTCCTTTAACAAACTTATAATTCCCCGTCTTCTCAAGTCCTCCAGGTGCCTTGACTACCCTAACGAAAACTGGCCTAGCGAATCGTGGGAGTTTCGTGACCCACTTACTTAATTCCCGGCGAACCTCGTCGTCGCTAGTAGGAGGCGATATGACGATAGCAGCGCATCCGCAACGGCCGTCGTGGTTTGGCAAGGCCACGCCGTAAACGTTAGCCTCGGCGATAGAAGGGTGCAGGCCAAAGACTTCAGACACTTCTGAGGAACTGACGTTCTCAGACTTCCAGCGGTAGGTATCGCCGATGCGGTCTATAAAGTACCAGAGTCCGTCTCGGGTGCGCTTTTGGAGGTCACCCGTGCGGAAGTAAGCGTCACCCTTTTTGAATGCGTCACTGCCTGCGGTTAGCTAAAGGTAGTAAGTAAGGAAGAAGCGAGGGGAAAAGAGGGTTACCGAACGACTTTCTCGTCACTAGCTTTGGGGTTCCGGAAATAACCCTGAAAGGTTTTCTTTATATCGTTGGGGTCCAACTTCCAAAGAACCTCACCAGCCTCATCATAACCGCATTGAACGCAGAAACCATTCTCATCACGGAAGAGCTCTTCGTTTCCGGCGTCCATTTTTGCAATCTTAACCCCACTGCCTAATAGTAGTGAGACGAGGGAGCCACTACGGCCTACCGCACCGACACCCCATTCTCCTCTTTGAAGATTCCAAGATCCAGACGTGCCCTCAGTGCTGGCGTAGAACTCGGCGATGGCAGGAATACCAAAGCGCTCCTTGAAGCGGACCCACACGTCCGGTCTTAGGCCATTGCCGAAAGCAATTTTCACATTGTGGTCTTTGTCATCCGGGGAAGGTGGGGCCGCAAGTAGGTAACGACATGTCTCGCCAACATATTGGAGGATAGTAGCCCGGCTGCTGCGAACTTCTGGCCAGAAGGTTTTTGTGGAAAACCTATGTCCGAGGACAAGCGTGAAACCGGACATCATAGCACCGACGAAGCCAAGAAGTGCGGCAGAAGCATGGTACAAGGGCATGCAGGTGTAAAACCTGTCGGATTTTTTTAATTCAACCCATGCACTGACGAAGCCAGAGCCGTAGTGGGTTTTCTGGAAAGATACGATGGCGGCTTTGGGCATACCGGTTGTCCCGCTACATTCTTATTGATTAGTATTTCAACCATAGTGATACGAGAATGAGGAAGTGGATATTTGCCTAGTATAGACTAGCATGGCCATTTCAGAAAGCTTAGCCCCGATCCTCTCCTCATCCCCCGGGCGAAAGCCTTTCCAGGTCTCCACAACCCTCTCGGCAGCCTCATCAAATATTACGACCTCGCGGTTCGCTCCCTCAGTCTCCAACCTCCTCCTCGTCTCCTGCCCTTCGGATCCCTCGAGAACCCCCTTCACTTCCACGTCAACAAACATGAGCCTAGCCGTCGATATCTTGACACAATGCACGAGCCTATCCCCCTCAAGATTGTAATTTAGCAGTGCAGGCTTCGCGCCCAAGGCCCACAACCCCAACCAGATCCAGATCATAGCTGGCTTGTTCATAAAATCAATCGCGATGATCTCATTCCTCTGGACGTTGTACCGTTCACGCAGCCAGGCAGCATACTTGAGCGCTAATTCGTAGGCTTCCTTGTATGAGTATTCGCGGCCTTGGTAGATTAGGAACAGACGTTCACAGTCGGTGGGTGAGAGGGCACGCTTCTCGAGACCGTAGAAGGGATTCAATCGCCCGCGGCGCTCCAGGAGCAGACACCGGATGCGGGAATACAAAAACGAGGAGATCACCGCGTAATCGTATGTCAACTGGTGCTTCGCATCCAGGTAGGAGAGCAGCGGCAGAGCCGCTGCCAGCAGAGCCAGTGGCGGAGCCATTATTTGTTTGCTTGTTTGCTGCTGCTACGGTAGTGGCAGGAGAAAGTGGCAAAGTAGGATGTTTGTTGAGGTGTGTATGTGTCTATATCTACCCTACTTATGGGAGGCACGAATTGGTATGTATGATAAGGCAAACAGTAAGAGCTGAGTAATTAGGGTGAGGGGATACGGGAGAAGGAGGGCGGATGAGGGGGGATGAGGGAGGATGGAGGAGGATGGGAAGAAGGTGGAGGGAGGGGAGGGGAAGGGGAGGGGAAAGAGTTCGAGTGGTGATGGGATACAGCTTCAATTGTGTGTGAGTTGGTCCAGTAAAGGTGGAGGGAATGTTCCTTCCACGCACCTACGGCATCGGTACAGGTACCGCAAACTGCCGGTACTCTATCTGGTGGCCAAGCTTTTCTTTTCTTTTTTTTTTTTTTTTCCTTCACTCCTTTCACTCACTTCAGCCATGCCTCGGTTGGCTTGCTTCTGTGTAACGCGGGCACGGGGCCAGTTATTAGCAATATCCGGTATCCAGCCTCGGTTAACATGTTCAATCCGCGATGTTTACCGGCTCCCAACCCGGTATAATAGTTGTGCTCATGCCATGATAGTCTACCGGTATTATACTGTATATTATCATTCATAGTGAAGGATCCGAGTGCGGAAAGATTGGTGAGATTCTGGAGTAAAACATTTTTATCCGTCCCTCCTTATCGTGCGTGCGGTCCCTCCAATGGAGAATATCGCACCTGTCTGGTACCGGGCACTCGAAATCAACACTCATGTACAATCCATCTTGCTAACATACCGGTAATACCCACAATATTATGATATGATAACCTCCGAAACTATACAAGTACTAGGGTGTGGAGTTAGTGATGAGACGGACAGGGTATGGGTGGCCGAGAACCATATCTCCAGATTCCCGATGCCCACACACATTGTCTCCGGGCACCCGCACCTTGTCTGTCTCATCACTATCCTCCATACCCTAGTATCATACCCGAGCACGAGTATCATACATGGGTGTTTCGAAATTTTGCTGTCACAGTGAATACTACCCTTATCGAAAATCGGAAAAACATACTCGTAGAACTAGAGAGGGCGTCCCCTGAGCACTTCTGTGAAGGCATGCTTTCCTAGAGATGTTGCAGTTGGAAATTTTCCAAAAATTATTACTCTCGCCTTGGTTGTGGGTTGACTTCGGGTCCCCGGCACCATACCAGTACCGGTACTGTACCCATATCTCCCAATCATCACTTCTGCTCCGGCCCAGGGTACAATACCCCTCTGTCTCATTATGGCACTAAAGACTCTTGACGATCTGGGCGAGATTGAAAACAAGATTCTTCCTGTCTTAGACATGCATCGGGCCACGTTTCAACCTAATCTAGTGAAGATCTCTACATTGTTTATCGGTTTTCCCGATAGTCTAAGCCCTCAGGACCCAGAGCCGCCCCAGGCTCCGGGCAGAGCTCTACCCTGTGGAGATGTTTTTTTATTCTGTCTACCCGGCCAGCCAGTGACTACATCTACCGAATGCACGAGGGGAACATTTTTTCTCCAATCCCGTTCGGGTCATTTAGATTTCCTAAAATTGCAGTAGGCAATACCGGCGTGCACCAACCAGCAATTCTGCCTCAAATTGACGGTTATATGTACAGTACAGTACAGTACAGTACCGCTACACTCGTACTATATCAAAAGAGAAGTGACCCCTCCCCCGAGCTTTCCATACAAAATTCCGATTTTCAATTAGGTATGATACTGTATCATACAAGAAACAACCATAACAAATCCCGTCCTCCATAAGTTACCCTGATAATCCATGGGGAGTTGAGCATTATGAATTTTTCGTCGACAGTCCTAAACACTGAAATACAGAGGCGCGAGGTTGGCTTAGCTCATTGCTATGCAAAATCCCACACAAATTAGCTGCCTTGGTGTGCACTCCAACCTCCTCCTTTGCGGAACAATTCCTTTACTATCATAGTAGTCTGGCATTCAACTGCCGTATATGAACCCTTGAATTAAACTCTGTCAGGAAAAATTTACTTCTTGATTCTTTGTTGCCAGAGAGGCGCGTATTGAAAATTGGCACCCTACTCGTACCGGAGGACTGCACGGTACCGCGTTGGCCTTGGTACCAGTACTGTACCAGGTCAAAAAGTTTCGTCCGACCCAAGTTTTACACTATTCAAATCACTAGAAGCAGAACTGCAAGGGATCAAAACTGTGCGCACTATCTACAACCGCGTTGACGAGTGTGAAAGTAACCCAAATCTCTGTATGGGTCTCCATACAAAAAGATACATGGCAATACCTCACACTGGATTGACATTTTCTCTACCCCTTTATAATTTTTAGGAATTCCGCAAAATCGCCCGCATTTTCTGCAGGCTTGTTGATGCTCTGCAGAATTTTTGAGGGGCTCTCATGGTCATTGTGCTGTGCGAGAGGGCGGTGAAAGTGGGGACTTCTGGCGCAAAAAGGGCGTCGGACGAAACGATTTGACCTATCATAGTACTAGTACAGTACTGTACGGTACCCCTGATTCAACGGTAAGGTTTGTATTTGTAGGGAAGAGGCGTCTTCTTGATGGCATGTGAAGCGCGCTGTGAAAAGTCTTGAAGCTCGGTCCACGACAAAGGCTCTCAGACAAAAGGGCTTTGTTCTTAGACTATGGTAATACTCTAGCTTGACTCGTTCCCGATAGCGGTGCTGGGTTTTACGGTGTGGTGGGTATGCATCATCTTTGGCAATTTGGGAAACACATCCATGGTATTTTATCATCATGAGAACTATGCGTGCTGGTACTGTACTTGCAAATGCCATGCTAATAAACCCAATCCATGCTCTTTGAGTCCTTCCAAAACTCTTCTATATGTCCGGCTAACATTCTCCCCTTCATTCTAACGAAATCGTGCGCCCCATCCGTCACAATGCCTACAACCCTCTCCGGTTCCTTCCCCCCGCCCTCTCCACCGCGTAACAGCTCTAGCATCTCGGGTAGCAATCCAGGATCAATATCCGTATCATTCTTAGCAAGCAAAATTAAAATCCTCTTCCCGGTTTCACGCAGATATTCCCCGGCAACTGCCCACTCCTCCTGCCTATCGTATATGGGTCCGTATTTGGACGAGCTAAAGTATGAGTACAAGAATCCCCGATGCTCGCGACTCTGCCACTCCAATATACTCGGAACGTCCAGGACTACAGCCCTATCCATCGGATCGCTCGCAACGCGGCGGGAGTGACTCTGCGCATGCTTTGCGTTGAGCCGGCGGCGCACCAGAAGTGTTGCTAACACGTTTGGGATCCACCCTGAGTGTACCATTCGCAAGAGGGGGCTTAGATGGGACTTTTTCAGAATTCCGCACGGAGCTAGGAGGATCAATTCATCAATCATGTGGGAAAAGTGGCTCGTAAACGAGACGCTTATCCCCCCGCCAAGGGAATAGCCAATCAAGGTAAAGCTGGTCCAGTGGAGGGCGGAGGAGGAGAGGGCAAAGATGATTTGTGAGGAGAACAGGCGGTGGTCGTGTGGGGTTAGGGGGGTATCACTGTACCCTCGACCGTATAAATCTGCAATTCATACAGGTTGGTCCCGTGTTATTATGGGAAGCGAGGACACTGATGGGTTATCATACCGAGGGTGAGAACACGACATCCTCTCCCAACCAAGTCCCACAACAGGTCCCTAGCAACAGGGCACGGCGTCGAAATCCCATGCACGAAAACAACTTTTTTGCCCTTCGTCGGCCCAAACTCGTACACACGGATCACCCCATACGGGGTATCAACCCATCGTCCATCCAGCAGAACATCCGGCGGATACGGTAGATAATCCTTCTCCTTATCCGTCAAGTCGCCCAGTAGTTCCCTGGGAGAGGGGATCACGCTGGGCAGTGGAATGGCCGGCGGGCGGAGCGCGAAGAAGGCCACGATAGCCGCGGCGGTGGTAGTAGTCAACCCGATTATTAACGGGCTGGAGGCTGGAGGTGGACGTAGCGTGGAGAGTTTTGAGAATAGATGGGACATTGTGAGCGATATCCTATGTACGGTTCCTACGGGGGAGGGGTTGGGGAGAGGAGGGGCCCTTTGGCGACATTGTTTCTATTGGGAATGGCAAGTGGAAGTGAAGAGGGGTGGGTTAGGGTTCTGAATGGTGAGTTGTTTCGTTTGGGAACCATAATATTATGATACATCGTCGGGATGGTTAGCATAACGGCCCGGGAGGGGGGGCAGGGAGCTGTTGATTGGTTGGCCGGGTGTACTTCTACGGCTATTTGCTTGACTTTATTTTTGTTTCCTTCAGTAAGGATGATTGAGTGAAATTGACTCGTGGTAACTTAGTGTCTAACTTGGTCGTAAGGTTCGCAGTCTGCAGTGAGTTGTGCGGCTGGTGCATAGCCTCCCACAGAATGACTTCCCAGGTTGATGGCCTGTGGCAGAGGGTTGGATGATAATCTGTGATGGAGTCCGAGTTCTGATCCCTAACGATGAGCTACCGTACACAAATTTAATTTTCTTGGATTTTCCATAATGAACCTTTATCACCAGTCCTATCATCCTTCTAGCGTCCCCGCACCGCCTCTTTCAAACCCGCAATTACTCTACTCGAGTAACTTACCTCTCATCCACTCACGCGTTAAGGGTTGCTAATTTATGGTCGGGTAGAATCACCAAAAGGGGTGGGTAGTCCACTGTTGCCAAAGGCCTTGATCAATTTTCAATGCTTCAGTACTTTACAATGCCGGTAACCAACACATGAACCATTCACTAAGCCTATTTCTACCAACTCCCTTGGTGTCACGAAAATCGCCATGGCCATGAGCACAAAAGAAATCGGCGCTACCATAACAAGTGGGTATATCCACAATACAGTACACGCCTCAAAAGAAACAAGTTAGACGACTGCAAATCCCTCTGGTCCGTTGTCCCATTGGAGCACCCATGTAAATCCCAACACGGCTTCAATAATAACAATAGACTTTCCACCTCCTACAATGTCCAAACAAAGGAAATTGCTTCATTGTCCCTCCCCATGCGATCTGATAATTCTCTTCCTTTGACTGCAATTCTACAATTAATACCGCTCTCCCTCATTTTCTTCTTCTTCTTTCCTCTGGTGATAGCAGTGATATCAACTACCCGCACCAAACCCCCACCAACATCGCCGGCATGGAGGTACGCAGGAATAACACTTTAGAGGCGGTTACATTGGCCGTGGGCGAGCTATACCGTTCACGTATCACACAAATTATGCAGAGCTTACAAAGGGAACCCGACGATGTTCGTTTCTGCAGAACATGTGTTCTGGCTAACAAGTGGCCGATTTCCGTCAGTGGGATGTCAGCCGAGGTCAGTGATACCTTCATGACCCTATCCGGGAGATTTGGCGAGCTTACCCGGCAGTAGGAATATCTAACACATCTAAGAGCTGATTTGAATGAAGCTAGAGGGCTTTTGGAACATAATTGGGACCCGCGACATATGGACCCCGGTTTCCTTGGTGATTCCTTCCCTTCTGCCAACTCAATACATCAGCTAATGGGGTTCCTACAGACGCAAATATTCCCACCGCCAGGAGGTGGTTTTGCACTATCGATACAAGGGCTAAATGCCATGCCTGTGGCCTGCCATTTGACCTTGTTCACGTCGTTCGTTGCCGTTCCCCGAGATATATATTACCGTGGGAGCTAACATGGAGCAGTTTGATTCTTCTGGAGAAGATACCTTCCCGGAGGGACAGAAGGCGGCGGCGGATGAACATCGTACTTTTTGTCCCATTATAAGAGTCGAGGGTTGGAGTACCGATATAACCGAAATGCGCCACCCCGGAGACTATCGGGACCAACTTGTCGATGCTTTGAACAGGGGAGATGATATCATGTCCATAATGGGGGAAGACCACTATGATGAGCTTATTCGGCCCAGGCTATCTCGAGAGCGAATCGCTGCTTACCAAAGATACCTCAACAGAAAGGCTCTTGCGGCCCAAGTTATGTTGAAGCATTGCCCCAAATGCCTGAGAGCCAGTAGCACAACCTTAATGGTGAGATATCCATTTCCATCCATAGCTCTACAGCACTAACGGCGTCCAAACAGGGGAAGCGAATGCACGAGAGAGTTTGTCAGTTGACACGATTTGACTGGGTTACTCTTGCGGAAGTACAACCGCTCCGAACCCAAGAAGGTGTTGATGGGCGCGAGATGGTAATGAATTCCAATGGGTCACTCGAAAGCAGGTTTAGAGTCTTGGCTCCGGGTGAGAAGGCTAGACTTGAAAGAAAATACCAACGACAACTTTACACTCGGTTGAACATGGACGAAAAAAACCTCGAGCTATTGGGTGATGACAACGACTCCGAGGATGTCCCCTCAGACCAGGACGACAACCAAATTCCGCGTCGGCATGGACCTCGCAGGCGCCGCCCCCACCGCCGACCGATCCACAGTGACAACAGTGATGACGAAAATGACTACGGGCCCGGCCGTGGCCGTGGCCGTATCGCCAGCCGCCGTATTCCTACACTTGAGGAGTACAACCGTTGGCATGAGGAGGTGGCTCCAACTATACTGGCCCGCAACAATGATTCAACAGAGCAGATGTTGTCTAGATTTCAAATGGAGTTTCAGGAGATGCTCCGCCGAAACGACCCTATCGCAATCGGCGTTCCGGCTCCGCAGCCTCGCCCCCCGCTTGGGACCCCGCTTCCGGCTAATGAGAGAAAGACCCTACTGGCGAGAAAGACTCCCAGGACGAGAGAGAAAAATACAGCTACCACCGGCCAGTCTCGGCCTAGGATCGCTCCACTCCGGGCCGACTCTGCTGGTGCTGGCGATGTTCGTGCTGGTCCACTTAGAACTAATATTCGGGCCCTCTCAGAAGCTGATGCAGAGAGGCCTATTATTACCGAACCCAATCTAGCGCTTCAGAGGGCATACGATAGGATACCAGAAGGTCTCATATCCGCTCTGGAAGGGACGGGGCTGAATGATAGCCGGCTAGGCTTTGGTTGGAGGGTACACACCCTCAGACTGTTGAGCCCAGCTTGGAATGCCCAAAACGCGCGGGCAGATGCGCTCCTAAAACAGAAGATGGAGGGGAAAGTAGTCACTGCACGGGATACTCGTCCGGCACTTCAAATGTATATCGATTTTTTCTCGACTGGGGGTCTCATCACCGTTGGATCCAGATCTCTAAGCTTTCTGGAAATTCTGTGCTATCCGGATGCCACGCTTGAGACCGATCAGTTATTTATGCAGCTTCTCTTTCCAATCGATTCGGCTCCACGATTCAATCCATCAATATCTCTAATGCCAACCGGCCTTCGCAGAGCTATGGCTACAACCCCAACACTCATAGGGTGTTTCATGCTAGGGTTGCGTAGAGTAATGGCATTCTGGGGGTTTGAGTTCCGCGGTACAAGCTCGACTGGGAGACCGTTATGGCGGCTTGTTCCAAACTTCCTTCCCGCAAATCATGCGTGGACACGGCGGGTGGATCATAATCACCAACGATTTACTCGCTTAATCAGGTGCTTGCACTTAATAGGAGGGTCCCGTGGTGCGAGATCAATATATAGATGCATCACCAGGGCCATCAGGGAGAGGAACCTTCCAGTAAACGAGCGGTCCCAAAGGCTCTGGAGAAGAACGGCGCTGGGACCACTCAACATGGATCCACTCGCCAAAGCATACCCACCCGACACCGACTTTAGGACGGACTCGGAACCAGAGGAAGCTGGAGAGGGGAGGAGCCACCGTCCCAGAAGCCTAAGTGGAAGCCTAAGTGGAAGCCTAAACGGAAGCCTAAACGGAAGCCTAAACGGGGGCGGGGACGGTAGGGGGGGTGGAGCAGGGTCGGTAGGTTCCCCGGTAGATTCCCAAAATCTCAGCTGGGAGAGAGCAATGGACCCTGCATATAACGACAATGGTGACTCGGAAGATGATCCCCACATTGCCGACATTTCCTCCTCCTCTGAGGGCTTCTTAGACCCGCATGAGCGCGACGTGGACTTTATCCCGAAGAGATTGCCATCCTCCCCCATCGACACCAGAGAAGTGCCCGCGATACAGCCACAGGAAACACAGCAGACGTCAGAAAGGTACCCCTATTCCTTCCTTCCCCCAGAGTCTACCGCGCGAAATAATACTAACGTGATACGGCCCAGCAATCGAACCCCGGTCGGTCAAAGACCGAGACCAAGGATAGAGAGGAGGTACGTCCCACCGCCTACCCGGACGGCAAGAGCATCCGATGATTTCAGGCACGTCGAGCGACGGATAATACCATCCGAGGAGCGGGCCAGATTGGAGAAGCTTAGGGCCGCAGCATTGAGGGAGTCGAACCCGGACATTACGAAGGTCGTCAAGCGTGGGTTGTAGTTGGAGTCACTGCTGGGGATATGGGAGATTGCGATATTCAGCTAGGTAGTTTATTGGCAAGCTCGTTCTCTGGACAGCTTGTCCACATTGTGTTGTTTTTCCCTGTCGGTTAGTTCTCGTTGCTGGATCTGACTGAGTAGCGATCGTGCTTTTATTTTTTGTTGGCTGAAGAAATTAACTTGTTGTCATACTTTGCCGAGTGAGAATTTGTGATTTAGAGGCGATACATCCGATAGGAGATAGTAACTCAGTTGAGACGGTGTCTAAAGGAGCCTCAACTGACCCAGCTGGACAAGCTTCCCCTCCACTGATTCCGTATACCCGAGGTCCGTCAAGCGAGGCATTAAGCCTCCCCTCCTTCCAAGTGTGATGTGCCCACGAGAAAATAGCGTGGAAAGCACCACCCTCCGGAAAACATAACATCTGTTACAGGTCGTGGATCGATGGTGGAAAATTGTGGTTGACACTAGAAGTTCTAGGAGTCTGCTGGATCGCTTAGGGATGTAATAGATTGTTCTAGAGCTCTAGCGGTTTACAGAGAAGAGTCTCTAGACATGCCTTTCCTTCAGTATCACGGTAGTGTGCGGAAGAGCGGAGACATATGCGGGGAAACAGAGAGAGGCGTCGTGATGGATGGAAGGATCAGAATGGTTTAATTACTTTTCATTTATACACCTGTCTTTACCGTTAGTTTAGATAGGGAGAAGAAGAAGCGTTGAGGAAGAAGAGAACGAAGTTGTTCACAATACCTCTCCTAACCTTCCTACACGGCGCCCAAGTTCCAAGTAAATCCCGCACTCTACCATCCACCGCAGCACTATCCACCTCCCACCCTAATCCACTCCAAGAGCAGTCACTACCAAGCGAGCAACGGCCGGACAAAAAGTTGTAGGAGGACCAGGTCGGAATTCAGTAGGGAAAACGATTCGTCCCCCCCCCCGGCGAACGGTTTTGCGAGAGAAGGTATACTCCTGTCTGGACAGTCCTCGAGCATGGGAAAGCACTGCGCCGGAGCATTGGCAGAAGCGGGGGTATCCATCATCTTTCTGCACGGCATGATACAAGGATTTTAAGGCAACTGAATACTAGAGTTCGGGAGTTAATGGCCAAACACCCATTTCTGGGGGCTCTCAGGGCAGACACGAAGGACTAGTGATAGATTCTGCTAGATCAAGCAGGTCCCAACCTCAGCCCAGCAGACTAGGATGGTCTAACATTGCCTTCTTAGGTTCGATATGGTGGGGAGAAGGGTAGAAGCACTACAGGGCAGGGCTAGAAATGGGCTACTACAGAGGACACCCATTGCCTCATGGTCAAACAAAATGCACTTCTCCAGAATCCCACTGGTCAAAACGGCGAAAACAATACTGACCAAATCTAAATACAAAACTCAAAGGAAATTCTCCTCACCACCACATGAGCTTCTTCCTTTCCGCAGCTCCCCACCAAAACAAAGCATATAATTATTCTCTGCAATCCCCCGTAAGGAAACAACTGGCAAACCATTCCCATGAACCAGAAACCACTACCCTATTGTTCCTGCTTTTCCATCTATCACTCGCTCACTTTCCATCTCCTATCATACTTCCTTCCACTCAGTTTCCATTGTCGACAAAAGATACGAGCAATACCCGCATACGAATAACCCACCACATCTCAACCAATCCACAGATACTCATATAGTCGGTAGATAACCACACCCATTTCCACGGTCTACCAAACCTTTCGATACCGCACAGCAAACATCTTGGTTGCGTGGCTCTGAACTAGGTGTATCCCGTGTGTGCGTGAGTAAGTGATGTTGACTCTAGCGCTTCTAGTAACTAATTTCCCCATTGTTTCTACAGCGGTTAACTTACCTAACCTGTACCATCTTACCTCTGTTTGCAGGTTGGATTATTTTCACAAGTCTCTTCGGTATCGTGAGCCCCTACTGCCGTTCCTCGGCTAACGGACGGTGTTTATTGATCGCCATGTTTTTGGTAGGTCTCTTGCCAAAAATCCTCCTGCTAATCCTCCCCCCCCCCACAACTCACACGATTTTAGTCTGTAAATACTTTGACTTATTGATTTAACCGGTATTTCCAGAAGGAATAATCCTCGTTTGTTGCATATGTGATTTTTACCACTTTTTTTTTATGATCGAGGCCTTGATCCGCAGTGTCCGGAACCATACCGAGCGCGCTGCAGAATTTTATATAACAATATTCCGCACAGAAGCCCCGTTTATAAATCCCCCCCAGAAACCAGGTAACCCTAGACTTCGTGTCGAGAAATATGAGGAAGGAAAGCCCTTCAAATTGTGTAAATGGCCATTGTCTCGTTTGAAAGGCAAGTCGTAGAATTGGTGTTATGCGGGCTCTCGGGGCCGAACCATGGCCCCGACGAACAGGCGACACATAAGGTCTTGAATGACAAAAGAGTGTCGATCATTAGCATAACTGGCGGGGGAGATATAAATGTATATTCAAAGTTTGACATCCTTTCCTTCCTTTATACCGAGTTATCCGCTATCCCCACCAGACCTCTAACCTCCGTCAATCCTGGCATTAGCCCATGATAGGTCCAGTTTGGCATGTTAATGGGATCGCGAATACCAGTTAACGATATCCAACACAGTCAGCAAGACTCAGGCTTTACCAGAAGAGACTGGCCACTCAATGGGTGAGAACACACTACCGTACCGGTAAATGATAACCCCGATTACTTACTCTTTTCCCCCACCTTGTATTTACTTTGTCTTCTCTCGACCCCTGTGGGTCGGTAAATTTTGTGATAGCTGTTATGGTTCGTGCAGCTCAAAAGGTGCACTAGATATTTGACAATTTTCAAATTCTTAAGGCTTTATAACTAGTAACATAATTGGAGAAAAAAAACCCCCCAACTAAAGGCAAAATAAAGGAAAATAATGCTGAGGGCTTTGTTTTATAATTAGTTCATTGGTTAATAAACCTTAAGAGTTTGAAATGTTGAATTTTTAGTGGTAGAGAAAGAAATGTGTTACATCAGCTAAACTTTTAAGGCTTACTAATACAGATTTTTTGGACTCAAGTTTTAGGTAATTACGTTTTAAAAACTAATTTTAGAAAGAAATGTTAAAAATACAATACCTATGACCTAGATATAAATTTAATAATTATCAAGATATCTGAATAGAATAAAAACAAAAAGGTTTAACAGCAAAGTTGACAGATCCATTAACTGATAATTACTACAATTGTTTTCCTATTATCCACTTCTTACAATCTTATTATATTACATTAATTAAATCATTCTCAAGATGCTATGAGTTAAAAAAAGAAAGGCATTAAACCAAATAGCTGGACGACAAGGAGATCGACCAAAGAAGGAAGAGATAATTGAAGAAAGTCCAGAGGAGTAATATAATAATATAGATGCTGTTATTTTAGAGGATGAGTTAGAGATTGCAGAATATCTACAATAAAATTTAGGTATAATATAGTTAGAGAGTAAAGGTAGACTTATATTAATATAATATGGATAATTTAGATACTCAGAATACTATCCTTGCAGCCAAGTCACCCTCAAGACAAAGAATCCGGAGGCAAAAAAAGAGACAAGAAAGAGTAATACTAGATATAGAGAGGCAAGATGATGTTAACAGTCAAGGTATATTTAAATAAATAATGTTACATATTTGCAATAAAGTAAAATAATAGTCTTTATACTTATTTTTATTATATTTAGATTATTTTACACAATATGATACAGAAGAGGTTCAGCTTCAGCATTATATAGAACAAGCAATTGTGGAATGGCCTCGCATGGTAGCTATTCACAGGCACCAAGTAAAGGACACGGTTTTTACTCAAAGTAAGATTAATGAATTGATATTATATATGGAGTAGTAAACAGTAATAAATTTTAGAATTAAATATAATAAAAGCTAATCAGTATAATTTTTATATATAATAGTAATTTATGATTTGAGAAAATATATGAAGTCAAAAAAGTGTCCCTTAAAAGGCATTAGCTTGAAGCACTATATTCAAGTACTAGAATTTATAAGATTTCAGAAAATGGACTTAATAAAGTCAATTTGGAAGAAGAGAACAGAAATTGCTCAACTAGTGGCAATATCATCAGCAAATGGCCGAAAGACAGTATTAGAGGGTTTGCACTCGGGGACTTAGGTGCCAGTTAGTACTAGAGGGGCCAAGGTGGTAAAAAGAGTTTACGCATGAGATCTATGTGACTTGATGGCCAGGTTACCCTGAGTAGGGCAATGAACCTGTAAACTGTTCACTAGATTGATCAAAGCACTTTTCAAATTTGTTATCATTTCCCAGAGAGATACAGAAGACCACTTTGAAAAGCCATGCTTGCCCAATGGTTCCTACTTAGAAGAAATGTCAGAAGACTAGCAGCTCTTCAATGGCTTCAGGTGGCTCTGACATGCAACAATAATCGGAAGCGAGGAGCACTACGCGATAGTGGAAGACTGGATCCGGATACATTAGAGGAAGAGGAGTAGAGGAATCAATTTCGGTTATTATTATCCTGTAACTTAATGAAATTAATATAATTAAAAAGAAATAAAATTTGTGACTTACTTGTAGAAGTTTCACAAGATGTGAAGTGGAAGAGCATGTTATAGCTCTACAACTCCCAGATATTATTAGAGCAGACAACTGAATTACTAAAGCCCCCCAAACGGTCCTCTGCATGCTGCTAGCCCTATTGGCATATCCAAATTGCCTCTATAATCTGGCTCTGAAGTTTGGTTGGCCCGTCGAGAGAGTATTCCGAATTAGTACTGTAACTCAAATGATTATTCGCAAGAAATGGAGCCACTTACTTGTCTGGGATGTTGACCGCCTGACTCCAGAAAGATTAGCCAAGTATGTCAATACAATAGAGCAAATAGGAGCCCAAATTGACACAGTATGGGGATTTATTGATAGTACCATACATGCTATTACTTGACCTACTCAATGTCAGTGAGCTTGTTATAATAGTTGGATGTGGAAACACTGCCTGGAATACCATGCAGTTGTTACTCCAGATTGGCTAATAAGCCACTTATTCGGTCCTGTAGATAGATGCTGAAATGATGCATTTCTCTGGCAGGAGTCAAATCTGTCCAACATCTTGCAACAACATACACATGGACTGGACGGAACCTCACTTCAGCTGTATGGTGACCCAGCCTATAGTATTAATAGGTTTATTCTGTCACCATACCAGGGGGTACAAGTTACAGAAAACCAAAGGCAATGGAATTATTCCATGTCTCATCTTCACATTGTGGCTGAGTGGGCTTTTAAAGAGATGGTGAACACTTTTGGCTTTTTGGACTATGCATAAAATTAAAAACACTTACTTCAACCTGTAGGAGTACAATTCTGTGTAGCTGCTCTCCTTCATAATGCTCATGTATATGTACATAGACCTCAAGTAACTCAATACTTTCAGATTGAGAGAGGAAACATTGCTGAACACAAAAAGTTAATTGAAGAAAACCTTTTAGAGCCACCCTCATTGTTAGAATATTTTCATAATTGAATTTTCGTTTATACTTGTACGTATAATATATAAAATAATCAAAATAAATATAAAATAATCACAGTGTTTTTAATATATAATATTATACAAAATAGTCAATTTAAATCTCTCCATCCTTTCGCAAAGCCTCCAAAATCAACACCAGCTCATCCTTTCTTGCCTTGCATTCAAGATACACATCATGAGACCTGTACTCACTTTGTTCC